CCTAACCCTAACTAACTAAATAATTACCTAAAGAACTAACTAAATAATTAACTAAAGAACTAACTAAAGACTTAACCAAAGAACTAACTAAATAATTGACTAAATAATTACCTTGTGGTGATTGTGTGATTTTGTATTTGGTTTTTATTAACATTTTCTGGGTGCAGCTGGAGTGTCTGTGTCAATGTTTTTCAGGCCGGGCGGGGCTGATTGGAGGAGCGCACGTCGGCACCTTCACAGCTGTGGCTGATCATCCTCGTTACGCACTGGATAAAGCCACTGGTCTTTCTGGGCTCCAGTGCGAGACAATTGCCAACTCTCCTGTGGTACCTAGTCGCCAGCTGAAGCACATGTGTTTTTCCCTTATCTTCTCGAGCCTACGAGTTACTGTGTGTGTTTTTCTCCTTCTCCAGCGTCTCCTCCACCAGCCGCTGTTTCCAGCTTCTCCAGCCCCACTTCGCCAGCTTTTGGTTTGCCCCCACGGATCCACGAGCCGGGAATTCCTCCACTCGAGCACCGACACGGGAAGAGCACCACGGAAGAAACACCACACGAGCACCGGGTTTGGAACGTCACCATTCACACGCGCACCATATACGGACAAGACGCCATACGAGCACAAGCCGCACGGATAATCACATAGAAAGGACACTTCCCCTCACGACACCAGCGCACCAGCCCTGGATTCCCTCACCTGCCTCCCTGGTTTCCTCACTCCCTTATTCCCTTAAAATAAAACCTGTTTTTCTCTAACCTTGTGCCTTTTTCCGTTCTGGTCCAGCCCTACATCGCACCGAGTGGTCACCGACCACAACATACCTAAAGAACTAACTAAAGACTTAACCAAAGAACTAACTAAATAATTAACAAAAGGACTAACTGAGAACTCAGTTAATATACTAACTAAATGATTCCTCCGTCACTGGCTGAGGTCCGTCTCAGCGGACAGATGAGGTCTTTTGGCCTGAGGAGGAGTTTCTTTAGCTGATTCTGTCACAGATGCTGCAGAACACAAACCAACACATGATCAGTCTTCTGTGAAACACCTTAGAGACAAGATGCTGCTTCATAAACCTGCACTAAGCAACACGTTAACACTAACACTGATTCAAAATGACATTCATTTTAAAAGACTCATGACATGATCAGTTTTTCAAGACACAATGAGGCAGTCTAACCTCAGTGTTGTTGTTCACTTGGGAGGAAAGTTGTTTTGTGTCATTTATGTTGAATTTAATGTTTGATCATCTGTATTGACCCTGAACTTCCCCTTAAAATTTTAGATGAGCTTGTGTCTCCTTCAGAGTTTCTTGTATTAATGTAAATGTTCAATAGTCCCTCAAAGTGATAAACAAGTTTTACGAAGGCCTTTAAAAAACGTTTTACAAATACAAACGTCATCTTGTTTTTATCCAATCAAAACTTGTCTTACCTGCAGCCGTGGAGGACTTTTTAGGACTCTGTCTTTTCCGCTTCTTTCTCTGAAAGAAAACACATGACACGGTTTATTTATGATATCTGCTCATTTTTGTATGGCTCTGACATTTGTACTGGTATGAGTTGTAAGGAAGCAGAGTGAACATACATCGTTGCCGCTGACCGACCAGTCGGGGTGTTGTTGAGCGTGGAGCAGTCTGAGTGTGTTGGCCTGCTCATGGTATTTTGCCCTCTGCTCATTTGTCAGAGATCTCCACTGTGGACAGACAACAACACATTGTTAGCAACTTAAATCATTTGCTTTTAAGGAAAGAACAAATGTCCCTGTCAAGATGTGACACACAAGCACAACGACAGATAAACAGTTGGGATCAAACTGTGACTGAATCTGTGACACAGGGTCTCAGACACACTTACTCTCTCTCCCAGCACGGCGTTGACAGCTACGCTGTCTTTCCCTTTCAGCTCAGCCACCACGTTTGCCCTCTGCTCCTCCAGATACAGTATGAAGGCGTTTGGTGGCTTTTTGACGTAAGGACGGTCGTTCTGCCCGTCATTACGAGTTCTCTTTCTGTGGAGACAAAACAGAAACAAAAAGTGAGCGTATGATGCCGCTGTGTGGAATTGTGAGAAAGTGAAAACTTTTGATAAAAAGCAAGATAATAAGGATTTTCAATACAAACTTAAAATGCATCTTTAGCTTAGCTGTTTGGTTGGTTAAACTCTAACTGAAAGATGCTGATTACAATCACATTCATGCCAGTGTGTGGGTGAACGAATGACACCTGAGCCACTGCTACACATGAGTCAGCTCCAGTTAGGAAAACCATATTTTGTCCAACAGCAGATCAAACTTACCGTGACTTGGAGGGGCTGACTGCAGGAGCAGGAGGGCTAAGCCCATACAACACCTTTCCATTCCTACACAGATCATAGAGAGACACATACACATGTCAGATAATATAAAGAGTGTGTGAACATACAGAGGCTCAGCAGTTGGTGTTTTTTTTACTTACAGGAACCCGACTGGTCGCAGGTTAATGTTCATGTTGTCCAGGAGATAGATCACAGGAACATTCTGGGGAAACAAATGAACGCACAACAGTTGATTAGACAAGTTGCAGCGGTGTCATCTGTCCAACAGGTGGGCCGACTGATCTTCTCTTTTAGATATAATAATTGAAATGTAAACATGCGGAGCATTTACGACTATCAGCTAAATAGCTGTAATGTGTCTGAAGGTTTCCACTGAGGGTCACAAAGTTCAGGAGTTTGTATTGATGTGAGGGCTGGGTGACCATGGGACAAATGAATGTCCTAATGCAGCTTTTAATGGGTTCCCAATTGAATTTTATTTCTAAAGCTGGCTTTCTAGTTAAAAATCTGCACTACAGATGTGTAGCCGTGCTCTGTTCTCCTACAGTGACACCATTAAAGCTGCTCCAACCCAACAGTGGAGACGTTCAGTGTGTGTGTGGTTAACCAGGGGTCTTACTGGGTCCAGTTGAGGAGCAGCAACAGGGCCAGTGGAGACGCTGGTCCCAGGACAGTGATACAGCAGGTCCTGTGGAGGAAGAGGGAAGGTGAAGCAGC